TAACTGAAAGCTAAATCACCTTGTTCATTACTTGCCAGATTGCTCAAATGTTAGTGTTTCAAGAAATTACACTCCTTGGTTGATCAAAAACTTCGCCAAAAACAACAGGGTGCGTTTTCTAAAACCATTCACTAAACATATGCTTAAAGTGTGACAGTCTTAATAATATTAAGTATTGATCAGATGGATAAGACATATTTTTCTTTGGAGTGAAAATAGACAAAACTAAGCTCACGCTCTGAGCGAATTAGTTTAACGCTCATCTCTCTGACAGGACGTGAGACGGGTACTGTTGTTAACCGACATGAGAAGCTTTCACAGCTTTTCAACTGAAACGTATGAACCGCTGTCAGACATGCACTAACGCCACTATTTAACTAAAATTGTTCGGGTTTGATACACATCTTGTCGTTTATAAAGTTGTTGATATATTTATTTTTATTTTTCACGTGTAATATAAGCTCCTGACAAACGTAGTAAATATCACTTAAAGAGTGCTAGCGTGTTACGTATTTTCTCAGTGTAGGTGAAAAAAATTGTTTTGTCTGAGAAACGGCTGTTCACGAAACATCAATTTTGAAACCACGACGACTACTTCAGACTTTGCCTGTTTTTCTTCCACTATGTTATAGTGCATAGACTGAAATTCAACATTCATAATTTTTATGATACCATTCAATAATTTCATGTCTATGTATTGAGTATAACATTTTTTTAGATATTTTGTTAAAAATGATTATAAAATTATGTCATGGACAGCTAAGAATGAACAAGAAACAAGATATATTAAAAATTGAAAACCAAACAAACAAACAAACAAACTCAACGTTGAAAGTGAAAATCAGCAACAACATGTTAATACTCACTAATATGATGTTAGATAATATACGTGAATACAAGCATGTTAATACTAACTAATATGATGTTAGATAATGTATGTGAATTCTCACTAATATGATGTAAGATAATGTACGCGAATACAAACATGTTAATACTCACTAATATGATGTTAGATAATATACGTGAATACAAGCATGTTAATACTAACTAATATGATGTTAGATAATGTATGTGAATTCTCACTAATATGATGTAAGATAATGTACGCGAATACAAACATGTTAATACTCACTAATATGATGTTAGATAATGTACGCAAATACAAACATGTTAATACTCACTAATATGATGTT